AGATATCATGGAACAACGAAAAGGAATGCCATTATCGAAAGGCGTAATGTTATAGATAGAGCTCTCTTATGTCAGGAGATGTCTCTCCTGACATAACAGCTGCAGTTATATGTTAACAACTATTTGCAGTAGTCAGCATATGACTTCTCTATTTCTCTGTAAATTACCAAGAAATACGGACAGATTTGCTCCGTTCAATGATATGAACATTGAGTAAACTGATGTCATGATAACATACAGAAAAAGTGCGTAGATGGAGCTGAATCGAAGGACATCACACTTTCACTTTTACCTTGGTTCAATACTTTGGCTTCACATCAAATATGAAAAAGTAGATAATAAATCTGTAGCATCGATTTAATTTAAAATTGTATCATTCAACACTCATCGGTGAAATTCTATTCGTATCGCGTAAGAAGAACGCTATAAGAAAGAAAAATTTTGAATGCTACAAATATTTTACAACATATTTCAATAGATTCGTATGTCAATGGGAGAATTTAGTGAAGAAGTCGTGCGAAATCATCTGAGAGTTTTGATATAAAATACTAGCGAAAAATAAACTGCAAGGATTCTATTCAACTCGAATTAAGATATCTGTTTTCATGAGACGATGATAATATGTTCTCCAAGAGAATTTTAAAAAGCATCCCTGAGTATCTCAGCAATGCGGGTGAAGTGTTTCGAAAAGTTTGTTTAGTTGCTTAGAATTTTGAATCAATATAGAGTCCGAATATCACGGTAGCCCAAAATATTTGTTCATATAAATATAAAAAGAAATAAACTCATGTGCAATATGTATTAGACGCACGGAAATGCATGCATACCAAAAGCGTCGATTATATAAAAATTGGTATATTTTCAAGATCAAATACCATACAAAATTTCGTTAGAAATTTAATCTTAATCAAAGAAGTCCTTATATGTGAATGCCAGATATAAAATCTTGTTCGTTCTAGCTAAAATATCTGATGCAGAATATCATGTATTCGATAAAAGTGGAGGGTGGGATATGCTAAAGTATCATGATAAATGATACATACTAAGAAATCTTGCATATATAAATCCTAGTGGTCCCTGAAACCATGTTAACATCGGTAGATAAAGAATAGAGACTTCAAATACCAGCTTATTTTCTCCAAGATTTCATGTTTTATCTAACTTCTTGGTTTACGAATGATCATTTAATGAGCACGGGTTACAAATTCACTCCTCTTTTCACGTCTATTCATGACGAATAATCTAAACTGCTAATACGTGCAATTTTTAAAATAAATAGTCCTTGTATGAAAGTTACATACGTTCTTCTGAATCGTTTCTTATATTAATATTGAGTTTTCGGAGTCGATGTAAATGTTGCACAACCATTAGCACATCAATAGAAGATGATTCTCCATAAATCTTTAAATATTCTACTGGCTGCATATATTTCCCACCAGACAGCATATATCTGCCCATTGTTGCCGGTACCACCATTGAAAATACGTTATATGGTGTTGTGTGAATAATAGCATATTTTTGGAATTCATGTAACCAACATGATATTGGAATATGATTTGGCCATGTACCAACCAAACTATCTATTTTGATTTGTGATTCTGAGAAATAATAAAGAATGCAAAATTGAATCTCAATCAAAGATGAAGGTAGAATGATGGGAAGATTTTGTCCATTAACAAGACGTTTGTCATCTGTAGATAGATCGAGTGTTAGCTTGTGTAAAGATGGCATCTTACTTAGAATATCAGCGATGTCACTTAATTTCCAAAACATACCTATTGAATGCAACTCAAACTCTTTCAGATGAATCAGAGGTGGTGCATTCATTAAACTTGTTAATGAAACACCTGGAGATTCTCCGAAAGTTATATGCAAACGGCGAATATTAGGTACAAGTTGGAACAAGTTTCCCATCATGTCGCAATAAATCAAGTTCAGTGTCAATTCTTCAATGTTCGGATACGAAACGTTTTCATTATTTGTATTTACAGATAAATAGAGAGAATCATAATCGAATAATACCGATTTAAGTCGACGATTATTAGCAGTGAAAACCTTTTCTAGTAATTCATATGAGCGTTGACCATCGAGACGTTTTACAACAAGTTTCAGAAGCTGCTTGAGATCTCTTATATCGTCAATAAATTCAAGCAGATCTGCATCAGTGAAGCAATCAAGTACTAACGTGTGTAAATTTGGGAATATTGACGACAAATCAAATTTGAAGCGAATCGGATGTAATTTATTTGATATAAAATTAGCCCAGTGTTCATTGACTACAAATGATCGTATATTCGAACCTATTTTAGGTAATATATTCGACATAAGACAATCGAATTGTTGATAGGTAATATTGTTGAAATTCATTGGATTACAAACATGAGTTAATGTTGCATTGAAACGAGTATTAAGATTAGAGAAAGAATAGACAATATCGGCACAGCTCAGATATTGAAATACGTGTAATCGAATTTCTTCTGGTAAAATTTCAAAAATCGATACATCAGCCATCTAAAAGAAATGTTTTTTTTCTGTCTTATTATTGGTACGAAAAAAGAAAGAAAAACATCATACATTTGGTTTGAGAAAGGCATATATTTATAGGCAATTTCGCACATGTAATACGATTCGAATAAAGAAAGTGACGATAGAAATATCTTCTGTTTTGGTCTGAGCGTCGTAACGAAAAGAAACGCTGGAGATATCTTTTACACCTATGTGAAACATAGAAGAAGGAAAAAAGAGAGAGAATCGCACATAGGCGCGCAAACATCGCAGCAATTGCGTCTGAATGTCATCCACGTGGATTGTTTATTTTTCTGGTCGTCCGTTACAAACCTGTAGAATTAAACACATCTGCTGAAAATTGATCGATGGCATAGAATTATTGATTTTTGATTGTGTTTATCAATAATGAATATACGAACGCCCTAAATTTCTTCGCAGTACTGTCGATCAATAGCTGTACTCATATGAATCAGCACTAATGCTTAGAACTTCTCTTTAAAACTATAAACCATTGACGAAAGTATTCTCAACTCAAAATTCAAATTTATCAAGAAATATTTTTTAGAAGAGCATTCGTAATAAGTATTATTCAAATGTATTCGTACTGGCAAGTGTTTGCACTAACATGAATTAATATCAAATACAGTTGCTATTGTAACATCAGTAGTCCTGACTGTCAATCTTGCTCTCAATCTCAACTATGTTCCTGTTCTCGGTATAAATGTCATCCATTGCAAGATAACATATATAGCTGAGTTTCATGCAAAACATAACAAAGCATTTATGAAAAAACGAATCCTAATATCGTCAATAAAATCAAAAGTTCCTTTTTTTGTAAAATATTTCTATATATTTCGGCAGAAGATAATAAACAGGAATTTCAACTAGAATTTTTGCATCCGCCTCATAGCAGAACTGCGCTAAGTAGAAAATATTTAGTTACTATGTTTATCTTAAACCCTAAATTGTTCACTAGAAACATGCAATAGCATTAAATTCAAGGGGGGAAAAGCGGATCCTGGTGAATTCTCATGGATTCTTATCGATTATGGAATAAATAAAGGGAAGTGTACCAAGGGTAACATGTAAATAGCTAATGATGGTAAATACGAGTACGTCATTAACCGAAGATACTAAAAAGAGTGTAAAAGTTCACTGAAGATTTATGGATAGGATATAAAGACTGCATCTAGTATCCGTCTGGTGCGTATATTGTCTCATAATTTGTTATATATTAAGATATGTTTGACGCATGTTTTAAAATCCATCTGACTGATTGATCCCGGGGTAACTATAGTCACAGATTTGCTGCAACCACTTTTAGCACAATTAGTTGATACTGAAGAATTTATATAGGGTGTGGGTGTGGATGTCGGTATTTTTTCCTTATATCCACACCCACACCCAAGCGACGTCTCCAGTCTGTCATATCATCGCTTTTTATTTATTGCTAGTCATTTAGTGAGAAAAAAGATGCCGTTCATCTATTGTTACGTGAAGGACGAATAACTTCTCTCATATTTGACACACATTTTCATAACTTAAGAATAACTTAAAAAAAAGATATTTTTGTGCTTACAAAAAAATTATTCAATCTGGGAGTATGCTTTGTTGATCTATCTTGTGAGATTATACTATTGAATTTTCATAGAAACTTGACGTTCATGTATGCTATACTGTAAGACTGATTGATTAGCAGCAGCGGTTCTAGTTGAGATCAGGCACAGTCTTGAAAATAAAAGCAGTTTTATAAATATCATCGTGACAGCGTCAAATTTTCAGCCGCGATGGACATTATCTGGTATCAAGCACTATATTAAAGTAAAATATAGAAAAATAGAAAGACTGTTATTAAATGTTGATATTCTTTTGATGAATATCCGAACCAACATAGAGGGTCTCAGTTTGTTTTAGATAAACCTCATAAGTAGAAACTTTCATCGAAAGATTCTGTCGTTTCATTGAATATACAATTTGTGGGGTGTGATTGTCTGTCCCTCATTGAGACTCCCTCGAAGAATTCCTGGAAGAGTTAAGAGGAGATTCAAGGATTCCCCAGGGGTTGATGAGTATTATCAGGGTACCTCCAGGAAGCTCCCCATTAGAATTCGCTGATAAATTCAAATTTATGAAAATTTTAGAGGATTTCTGGAATATGCAACTCCCTAGTGACTTATGACAGAGATTCCTGGGGGGATTTCGTTGGGAAGAGTCGACTAGGATGTGTTGGGGAGTAGGGCACAAGAGGCAGACTATCTCTGACACCTGTACCCATACCTAGGTCATTCTCATTAGGTAAAAAATACCTCTGAGTCAAGATTGTAAAAAAATCCATGAAAATATTACTCATAAGCAATGAAAACTAAAAGCAATGATTGACAATATGGCATGTTTTTGTGAAGAGTAAATTCATTTTGTTTCTTTCTACAACAAAACAATTTTTGAAATATTTTCATATATTTTGTTTTTTATAAATAACCACTTAATTCGACTATAATCTGTGATAAAATCTGGAGAAATGTAAATGTATGAATAGATGAAAAGTTAACAATAACGTTTTTTCCGTATTCTTTGGTTTTTGAATTTAGCTTTCTGTTAGCGGGAGGGTGTGGGTGTGGGTGTTCTTCTTCTTTTATGCTGGCCCACACGCACACCCACACACCCACACCCACACCCACACCCACACCCACACACCCACATTCACACCCCACCTACACCCACACCCACACCGTGTCAGATTAAAATTAGCATTAGCAATAAGTAATACTTCATTGAATGCTTTGGTATTAGAATTAATTAATGAATATGTGTTAGTCTTAGTTCAGTATTATTTTTATCCCTCACACCTAGTTTTCCAAAAGAGAACAATTTCGTAATGTTCTCTTATACTGTAGCTCATTGATTACTCACTTATCCTCTCGACTGTCGAGAGGATCATGTGGAAAAAAAAAGTGAAAAGAGCTTGTCTGTTTGTGGTAAGGTCAAAAAAACATCCGAGGTGAATTCTTTTGTAAAGGTTGACGGAAATAGATCAAGGCCGAAGAGTCCGAATCTGAAGCTGGTTTCTCAGAATTTGAAATTATTATTTGTATGAGAAACTTCTTTTTATGAAAAAATCATACTTTTCGTTCTGAACTATTGTTTAAGAGAAAAAACATTTGCTTTCAAAAAAAAATCATTTGGAACTAGTGGAACTCAAAATTTTCGAAATCCTTTTGCGTATTGGAATTCTTTGTTCGTGACTTATTTTCGGTAGTTTTTTTGCGATATGAGGTGTGGGTGGCTGTGCCAGTAATTCTCGGTGGTATAGAGCAGTGTTCACACATTACTGACTCAGCATTCTGAAGTATACGACGTTCATCGATTCTTGTTTATTCGGAGTGTTTTTCAGTCAAATATGTTTTTTCCGTATAATCTGCTTAACGCAAAAAACATAATATGAAATGAAATAGTAAGTGAAACTAGACTTTTTATGATAAATGCAGAACGACGAAAGATTATTCCAATGTATTTAAATAATACTGCAATAAGTGGCTACGAGTGGTGCCTGAGCGAGAGATACAAGGGAACAACTGGTCGCTATTATTGCAAACACACTCTAACGCTGCTTCAACAAAGGTCTACATGAAAGTTAAATCAATTGAGCATAACTCATTAAGATTCCCTGAATCAGAAGCCCTAATAAACTTGGAACCTGTCAGTGAAACAAGGTGTAGATGCTCAAACGACATTTGCGCATTCACACTCATACTCACATTCAAGATAGTTCTACAAAGATATATGTGTAGAATAAATATTTTATTGAGTGTAAAAGACATGCTCAGATGAAGTATTTAAAAGACAAACAAGAATAATCGATGCAGATAACAAGAAGAAAATCAGTATGATGTTCATTGGAAAAAGCTTCCGCATATCGTATTAGGAATATGGTAAAGAATCTTATTGAATGAATAATGTTGCAATAGCACCACCTAAGTTGAGTACGAGTGCAACGATAATCACAGTAATATTTGCACTTACTTTCACAGTGGCCATAGTTTTACTGCCAATAAAGCTCGCACCTAAAGCAACACTAATAATGCCAGCGAGCAAAGTGGCGAATGGTAGGCTTTTTATCATGATTTTCACCATTCTGTTTGAGTTTTTAATTAAGAATACGTAAATTAAAGCGCATAAAGTAGCCAATGCTGACAGAATACAAGCAATAATAATAAAAACACGTGCGGCTTTTAGTTTTGTACAACCTTTAAACAATGATTGTAAGCAGTTCAAATGGTAACAGGCCGAGTGACTAGATTCCAATATACATACTTTCCACAATCCGACTGTTATTTTTTCTAGACCAATATTCAATTTGCCCCTAAAAGCAAA